TTGTTCACATGAATTCTTACGGACTAATTAAGGAAATGCACTCTTCTCTTTATTTTGGGTGAGTTGGGTAGACAGCACTGTGCAGGCTTGCTCGACCGAAGTAACTCTGTTGAGCGTCGGTCGCGCTCCACAAGGTCGGGGCATGATAATTGGTTTCTAAATCAATTTAATCAAATCATATCAATAACATAGCTTTTCTTGATAATTCACAATTACAAAAATTAGTTTAAATTAACAGAGTAGATTTACAACTTAAGTCAAGTTTCGCACTATTTAAGTAACTTTTTCACTCCTATTCACTGTGGGATTCGACCCCAACCTAGTTGGGTTATTATATTTGACACCGACCGCCCTACACCAATTATATAGGTGTAATTTGACCGTATCAAATTTTGGCACCGTTGCCGGAGAATACAATTTTGAAACTACTAACTAGTGTGTGCTTCACTTGACGTGTTCTTCTATTCCACCACACTTTGCTTGTTTTACTTGGTGTCATTAGGTAAACATGGTCGAGCTGGAATAAGAGAATGTGTTTGCGGATATAGATGAGTATATTGAGGATACAAATACCATTGTCCCTCCAAGAGTTGATGCTGCCACCTTCAAAGTGGAACACAATATGATCCTAATGCTGAAAGCAGAGGGGTTCTTCCAAAATTCCACCGACGATGATTTGACACAACATCCCAGAAATTGTTTGGGTGTGTGTGCAATGCACAAGAAGAATCATGTCTCGGATGATGCCCTAAGGTTGAGGGTGTTCAATTACTCTTTAACTAGAGAGGCAAGACAGTGGATCCAAAATCTACCTCCTATTTCCATCCACACTTGGCCCGAACTTGTCCGAGCTTTCCTAGCAAAATGGTTTCCACAAAGCAAGAAATCCGAGCTCCGGAATAAAATTTTCTTCTTCAAGCAATTACAGGAGAGCATCTACATGAGGCATGGGATAAATTCAAGCTATATTTGGTGAGGTCGCCGAATCATGGCTTTCCGGATAATATTATATTAGAGAAGTTTTACATGAGCTTGGATCCTATAAATCAATCCATAGCCAAAAATGCAGCGGATGGGTCCTTTATGGATAAAACATTTGCGAGAGTCACATAAATCCTTGACAAGACGGCACAACATAACCAAGCTTGGCACTCGGAAGACATTACAAGTGGTGTTGCATATTGTACTCCTTCCTTGACCAACATGATTAAGTAGAACCAAGAAAGAGATCAAGTAATTGCTGGGCTTGCCACCAATGTCAACGTGCTGACGAATGTGTTCACTGAAAGCCAAACAAAAAAGGTGAATGTTGTGGAAGATGTGCAACCTATGTCAAATGAGGAATACGAAGAAGCAAATTATGTCAACAATCCTCAAGGAGGATATCAAAGACAACCTTACCAAGGTTCAGGACAACAACACCAATGGAGGTCTAACCTGCAAGGGCAAGGCAACCAACAATGGCGAAATGACCAAGGTAGTTCAAATCAAGGAAATTAGAGTAACAACATTAACAACTTTTCAAATCGGAGTTCAAACCCCTATGTTCCACCAAAGGGGCAATATTCTAACTCTCCACATTAGAGGGAAAGTTCTTCAAGTAAGTCCAAGTTGGAAAACATGATTGAAAGAGTATTGCAAAATTAGGAGATATCCGACACTTCAATGAAGAATATGACCGAGCTTGAGGGTTCTCACATCGCATCTATTCAAAAGTTGGAGATGCAAATGAGGGATCTTTCAAGAGATCAAAATCCAAAGAAAAAAGGCACACTCCTAAGTGATACAATTGCAAACCCAAAAGGTAGTGGGAGTGGTCCAACTTCTCACTGTATGGTAGTCACAACTCGAAGTGGGAAACTATTTCAAGGAGATAATGAACAAGTGGTCGAAGTGGAAGATTCTGAATAAGAAGTCGAGGCACAAGTTGAGGTGCCAATTGTTATTGAAGTTGAAAGATTCCCGAAAAAGGTGAGAACTCAAGAAGTGAACCGGGAAGAGGTGAAGGAAAAGGTAATAAAGGCACCAAAAACTCTAGCACAAATTCCTAGACCTCCTCCTTTCCCTCAAAGACTTGCTAGAAAGGTTGATGATAGCAAACTCGAGAAGTTCTATGACATCCTAAAGCAATTATCGGTAAACATTCCATTTGTGGAAGCATTTCAAGAGATGCCATGTTTTACTAAGTACTTGAAAGACTTGATCACTAAAAAGAAAACCACCAAGAATGAAGTGGTGAATGTGACTCACCGGGTTAGTTCCATCATTGCAACAACTGCCATCCAAAAGAAAGAGTACTCGGGAGCCTTTACCATTCCATGTACTATTGGATTGCGCGATTTTGCACGAGCCCTTTGTGATAATGGGGCTAGCATCAACTTAATGCTCCTTTCTATTTATAAGAAAGCGGGATTAGTTATGCCTAGGCCTATAAGTATGAGGTTGCAAATGGCCGACCGTTCAATAAAGCGACTTGTGGGAATAGTTGATGATATGCTTGTGAAAGTGGGGAAGCTTTTCCTCCCTGCCGACTTTGTTATTCTCGATTGTGCTATTGATAAAGAGATCTCTATCATCTCAGAGAGACCATTCCTTGCTACCGGGAGGGCACTCATGGACTTAGAATGAAATGAGATCAAGTTCCGAGTTAATGACGAAGAAGTTAACTTTCAAGCGAGTAAAGGTATGAAACTGCCATATACATACGGAAGTATCTTAGTAATTGATGTTGTTGATGAGGTAGCGGATGTAATCGAGGTGAAGATGGAAGAGGACTACCTTGGTGAGGCGTTGGTGGCTATTTTGGTGAATTTTGATGGTGAGGACATGGAAGGATATATTGAATCAATGAATGCATTGGAAGAGCTTGGGTCCTACACTTATGCACCAAAGAAGCTTTCTCTTGACTTAGAGAATAGAGTCACTCCTCCTACTAAGCCTTCAATTATCGATCCGCCACAACTTGATCTCAAGCCACTTCCGCCGCACTTAAGGTATAAATTTTTTTAGCTCTAATGAAACTCTACCTGTAATTGTTTCTTCTTTGTTGAATGATGTGCAGGTTGAACACTTATTGAATACCTTGAGGGAGCATAGACAGGACATTGGTTGGACTATAGCGGATATCCGAGGGATTCCCGTCAGAATTTGTGAGCACAAGATACAATTGGAGCAAGAGATCAAACCTAGTGTAGAACATCAAAGAAGGTTAAATCCTTCCACGCAAGATGTAGTGAAGAAAGAAATCATAAAATGGTTGGATGCCGGGGTTGTCTACCCCATTGCCAATATTCCTTGGGTGAGTCCGGTGCAATGTGTGCCAAAGAAAGGAGGCATGACCTTGATGCATAATGACAAAAATGAACTCATCCGAACGAGGACGGTGACCGGGTGGAGAGTTTGCATGGACTATCGGAAGCTCAATAATGCTACTTGCAAACACCATTTCCCTATGCCTTTTATTGATCAAATGTTTGATTGGCTAGCGGGAAGGTCATTTTATTGCTTTTTGGATGGTTATTCCGTCTATAACCAATTCAACATTACCTTAGAGGACCAAGAAAAGACGACATTCACATGCCCGTATGGAACCTTCGCTTTTAGCCGAATGCCATTTGGGCTATGCAATGCCCCGGCTATATTTCAACGGTGCATGATGTCAATATTCTCACACATGGTGGAGGATTTCCTAGAGGTATTCATGGATGACTTCTCTGTAGTCGGTGATTCCTTTGAACATTTCCTTGAAAACCTTAGGCAAGTGCTCAAAAGATGTGAGGAAACAAACCTTGCGCTAAATTGGAAAAAATGTCACTTCATGGTAGATAAGGGTAATGTTCTTGGTCACAAAATCTCCAAGCAAGACATAGAAGTTGATCGGGCAAAGATCGAGATCATTCCCAAGCTTCCTCCTCCCACTTCGGTAAAATGTAATCGGAGGTTTTTGGGGCATGCGGGTTTTTATAGGCAATTTATCAAGGACTTTTCAAAACTTGCAAGTCCCATGTGCAAGCTCCTTGAAAAAATGCTAAGTTCAAGTTCAATGAGAAGTGCCTAAAAGCTTTTGACGAATTGAAAGCAAGGCTCATCACGGCACCTATTATTCTCACACTCGATTGGTCTCTTCTATTTGAACTTATGTGTGATGCCAGTGGTGTGGCTATTGGAGCAGTGCTTGGTCAACGGCATAATAAGATTCTTCATCCTGTCTACTATGCAAGCAAGACATTCAATGGCGCACAACTGAATTACACTGTAACTGAGCAAGAACTGCTAGCTATTGTCTATGCTTTTGAAAAATTTCGGGCCTTCTTGTTGGGATCCAAAGTGATAGTCTACACTGATCATGCTGCACTCCACCACCTTATGGCAAAGAAGGATGCTAAACCAAGATTGATTATGTGGATAATTTTATTACAAGAGTTTGAATTTGAGGTCGAAGATCAGAAAGGAAAAGATAATCAGGTTGCGAATCACTTATCTAGGCTTTAAGAGGTAGGAAGACCAAAAGAAGATCTTGAAATTAATGATGCCTTACCAGATGAACACTTATTGGCAATATCTAGCACCTGCACTCATTGGTATGCCAACATTGCTAACTTCTTGGTTAGTGACTTTATCCCCGACGGATTGGAAACTTATCAAAAAAAAAAAGAAATTATTGCGGGAATGTAGGCAATACTATTCGGAGGAGCCCTTTTTGTTCCGGATTTTCACCGACAACATCATTTGGCGTTGTGTTCCGGATGATGAGATAATTCAAATTCTCAAAGCGTGTCATGACTCCCCAGTAGGAGTTCACCACGGTGGAAATCATACTGCGGCAAAAGTTTCCATCGATCTACCAAGATTCAAACCAAATGGTCAGGGTATGTGATCAATGTCAAAGACAAGGATCAATTTCTAGAAGGCATGAGATGCCTATGAACTTTGTGATAGAGGTCGAGATCTTTAATGTGTGGGGGATAGATTTCATGGGGCCTTTTGTAAGTTCTTACGGCATGACATATATCTTGGAGGCAGTAGATTATATCTTCAAATTGGTTGAGGCAATTGCCTTGCCAAACAATGAAGCAAGAAGTGTAACCGCCTTTTTGAAGAAGAACATATTTACTCGGTTTGGAACCCTAAGGTCCATCCTCAGTGATGGTGGTTCTCATTTTTGCAACAAAGCTTTTGTCGGATTACTTGGAAAATATGGAGTTAAGCACAAGGTGGCTACCCCTCATCATCCTTAGTCAAGTAGTCAAGTTGAAGTCTCCAACCGGGAGATCAAAAATATTCTAGCAAAAACTATTAATGTAAACAGAACTGACTGGTCAAATAAGTTGGATGATGCATTGTGGGCCTATCAAACAACATTTAAGACACCCATTGGCACCTCACATTATCGATTGGTTTTTGGTAAAGCTTATCACTTGCTAGTGGAACTTGAACACAAAGCCATGTGGGCATTGAAAAAGTTAAATCTTGACTGGGCTGAAGCTGCTAATCTAAGGATGACACAACTGAATGAGATGGAAGAGTTCTGTTTTCATGCCTATGAGAATGCAGCCATGTATAAAGAAAGAATGAAGTTTGTTCATGACAAGAAGAGTTTGAAGTGGGAATTCAAATCCGGTGACTTGGTCTTACTCTTCAACTCAAGATTGAAGTTCTATCCGGGAAAACTCAAATCCAAATGGTCTGGCCCGTTCAAAGTTGTGAGTGTGTCTCCCTATGGTGCTATTGGATTAGAATCTGAGTATGGGACTCGAACTTTCAAAGTAAATTGCCAAAGGGTCAAGTATTACCTCGGAACCAATGGAGAAAGGCAACTGGTAGAACAATTCGCACTCAAGGATAGTCCTATGCCAATCCCCACCCATGATTAGCCAAAATCGGGGCAACATCGTCGTGTCGTGACGTTAAATCAAGCGCCTTTTGGGAGGCAACCCAAAAGTCGGTAACATCAATTATTTTTAGATTCAAATTTTGGTAGGTTTATTTGTGAGTGTTGGACAATTTGACATGTGTATTAGAATACAGGTTACCCAAAATACAAAGAAGTAGGATGCAAGGGCAGAGGGAAATGAAGGAAAACAAGTTGAGCTTCAGTTGTTTTTCTGCGGCAACATATGCGGCCGCATAAATGGTATGCGGACCGCATAATGGTTGCAGACACAAGCAGAACACCAGTCAAATTGTGTCTTAAAAATTCGGAGAAAAATCAATTTTTGCGGCCCGCAGAATCATTGTGCGACCGCAAAAATGAACGCACATCTGTAGCCGACCCCAGATACTAATCTATCGCAAAACACATATGCGGCCGCATAATGTGTTATGCGATGGTCATTTGACTGCAGAACGTTCAGGTATTAAACCCTAGTTTTGTCTCTCTCTCTCTCTCTCTCTTTCCCATATGTTTTCTCTCATTTCACACACCCAGGCACGAAAACAAAATTCAAGAGAAAAACATAGAAAAAATTAAAAAAAAAAGAAGAAGAAAAGGGGAGGCTCACCTTGATCGCCACAATTCACACCTACTTAGCTTGCTCGAACTTCTGCAATTTGATATTTAATATTTCCAACATTTCTCTTCCTCAGTTAATGTAATGACTGATATGTGCTCTCTAATCCATGTTACCCTCTTCTATCTGCCCAACTTCTTATCTTTTGTAATGGGAATCAACTCTGGGGGGGGGGGGGGGGGATGTGCTGTGGGTCAATCAAAATTTGGGCGGTGAGTATTAGGGGGTCTGAATAGAGGAAGGGCATTTGAAATTTGTGACAAGTTACATTAGATATTGCTAGGCTGAGCATGAAATTGATCTAATGTTGAGTGTGTGTAATGCTCTCTCACAACTTGAGCATTTGGTACTAAGTGTGCATAACAGTTGCCTGTGAGTGCATTGTTGAGTAGAGACGATGATCTTTGCGGTCCGTATAACTGTTTTGCGGTCCGCAGAGTCATCGAATTCTGTATGCTTGAGAGTTTTCTCAGCGCCAATATGCGGTTGCGTCTGCGGCTGCATAACTCGTTTACGGACCGCACAATTGTCGTAGACCTAATCAGAATCTAGCCTTATTCAAAGTTCAAAATGCAACCGATCTACGGTCACAAACCTGTTATGCGATAATATCTGTGGCCCGCATAATTCCTTCTACTTCTGATGGTAATATTCTGCGTTGTGGTTTGCGGTCCGTAAAGTATAATTGCTCGTAGAACATTTTGTGTCTATCATTTCTATGCCATATGTTACACATGCCCTACCTTATACTAACTCCTCGTTAATTGGTAGGAATGGCACCAAAGAAATCCTTAGCATAGAGAACACCCAGCACTCGAGGAAAGAGATAGACTGCAACTATAAGCCCACAATCACAGCAATCCCAAGGAAAACATCCTAGCACATCCAGAAATTCATCCGAGCCTACCTCCCAGTTAGAAGAGGAGGAGCCACAACTTGACCTTTTACCACAAGTTGACCTCCAGGCCGAAGCACATAGAAAATTACTGGTTCTTGAACTATGTACAGAGATGGTCTGGCAAAGAGAAAGATCCTTGAACAAAAGCAGCTGAGTTTGAACGGTCTTAAAGAACACTATCCCCATGTGCTAGAAAAAATCAAAAAGAGGGGATGGGAGTTCTTTACTAAATATCCGGGAGAGTACAATGAGACACTTGTTAGGGAATTTTATGCTGCATATGCTGCATCCACGAGCTCAGAACAAAAGAGAAACCGTCGATACTTGAAATTTATCTTAGTCCGAGGAGTTGAAATACTAGTGATGCCCCATCCATCAATGATGTATATTTCGAGGAGTGGGAGCTAGGCATGGCAGAATATGAGGCAAAAATTACAAATAAAGAATCTGAGTGTGCTTGGGTAGCTTCTGTAATAGACAAGGGAATTCCACCCTGGATTGCACCGCGCTAAAAAGATTCACAAGAAAGATTTAACCCAAGAAGGCCGGTATTGGCTAAGTTTTATCTGTTCTCGTATAATGCCTACGAGAAATAAGACCGACATCAGTATCGAGAAGCCAATCCTTATTGCTTGCATTATGTCGAGTATCAAGATTGATGTGGGAGAGCTTATTTCCCCTGAAATTGGAATCCGGGCAAACTAGAAAGAAACGTCGCTCCCTTTTCCATGCTTAATCCTAGCATTGTGTGGAAATGCAGCGATTCCTCCATTCCCCAAACATGACCGCACAGTAAAAGCTATTCAGGATCTTGACATCACTCGACACAGTGATGCCTCAGAGAAAAAGGTCGAAGATCCACCAGAGCAATCAATCCCACTGCTTCAGACCTCGTTACGTACATCAGCACCAGCACCTCCTGCCTCATTAGTGCCAAACACTTCTTCGGCACCTGCCACCTCCACATCCACTCCCAGATCAGCCATTTCAACACCAACTGCATCACTGCCTAAACTCTCCAAGCTTGGTCTACTGACATAACATGCAAATGCCAAAGTAGACAAATTGACAAAAGAACTTCGATCGCTCATCCGGCAAGCATTGGCCCAGATTCAAACCTCAATAAGTGATCTTTAGAAGCAACATCTATCATATGAGGATCTACTCAAGCACTTTGAAGCTTGCCTTGAGAAGGTTAAATGAGGTGAGGTTGGGGACATGCCTCAGCTTAAAAAGGATGTAGCTGAGCTCAAGACGGAGCTGCATAAGATGCAGACACTGGAGTTTAATTTAACCACCCTTCTTCTGGTGGAAGGGGAGTAGGGCATCAGCACCTCCCATGTACCAAGTCTTGATCTAGATTTCACAAACTTCCCATTAGATGAGGAGGTGCATGGTACTGATATCTCACAAACTCCGAGTTCCGTTGCACAAAAAAATTGTCATTCATACGAGGAATCTGGAGAGCCTTGTGAGGAAATTGATGAGGAGCGGTTATTTGAAGAGGGTGATGATCAGAGGGATAACAGAGGCAAACAAGTTGCTACTGTTGCAGAGGAACTGGGTGAAGAGGAGGTTGATGTGAAAACAGCTATCGCACATTCACTTGCAGATATGGCTGCCAGAGCTACCACAATGACCACACAACTTTCATCGGGTGAGTTCAGTAGCTCATAGGTCCAGTACCCGGATCCGCAACAGGCAGAGCTTCCTACTTTGGTCTCAGACACCACTACCCACTCAGATGATCCACCTGCTGCCTCAACAGTTTCAGCTCCAGCCTCCACTGCCGCCTCGGATATTCCAAGCACCTAGTGCGCCCTAGGAAGCTCCTAAACTTTGTTCTTATTTTGTTTCCAATGCATTGGGGACACTGCATGTTCTTAAGTTGGGGTGGGATATTCAAACAGACTTTTGCAACTTGTATATACATTCTTAGTCCCACTAGTGTAGATTTGTATATAGTAATGAATTCTCCTTAGTATTTCTTTGCCGGGTTCTTTTCCAAGGGTGTAATAGTAAAACCATGGTCGTAGCATAAAACGTTTTGACTTGTTTGGTGCTTTTGTTCTAGATTCAAGCATATGATAAGTTTTTGTGAAATAAATTGCACCCTTCCAATTTTGTGAATAAACAGTTAGTCATTCTTGTGAAATCGAGGCTCATTTGACTTTGTGCTTACTTAGAATCTCAAATATCATTTGATGAAGCATTGAATTGCCTTGTATTCACTTGAGGGGTGAAATTATGCCGAGTCGAGCAATTCATGCATTGTGAGTGGTGAGAATTTGCGTAAATAATGCATGTACTCAACTTGTAATGTCTAGAACTTGTCCGATTGGTTCCTCAATGCAAATCTCAGGTTGATGATTGGGTGTCGAAATGATCTTAGGCTCTCTTTGTTATTGCTAACTAGTTCTTGACCAAATTGACCTCCCTGGTGCATATATTATCCTAGTTATCCCCCGTTGAGCCTTTAATATTTTATTTGACTACTACATTACAAATTTTACCCTTTTTGTGGAATAATTCCCTCGTTTGAACCCGTCCCTCCTTGAATGTTGAGAATTAGGCTAAAAGCCTAAGTTGGGGTGTTGGTATCAATTAGAAAATGGTGAAGACGTTCATTGTGTGTAGAAGCAAATACCTCAAAATTGTATAAGATGAAGATACTCAAGCTCCAATAAAAAAAAGAAAAAAAAAAGAAAAAAAGAAAAAAAGAAAAAAAAAATAAAAATAATATATATATATATATATATATATGGAGTTTTGAGAAAATTAGAGAGGTACTTTAAAGCGGTTCTATGTTGGTACTAGAGGTCAATAAGGGCCACGTGATTTTAAAAAAAAGAAGCAAAATGCAAAAAGTTCATATAAAAAAAATGTGTGTGTAGCGTTTAAGGAGGGTATAGTCACTATATTCCCAAATATTCATCCAACATGTACCGAAGCCTACACTACAATCCTTGAAAAGTCTTTTTTGATCTACAACCAATTATTCCTGGGGTAGTAATGAGTTCAAATAAGGGCAAGCTTATGGACTGATACTTGTAGCACTTAACCTTCTTTCTGAGTGCAAGAGTGTTTGATTTTATCCCCTGTACATACGTGTTGAGTTGGGGATTTTCTTTGATGTGAGCATGCATGAATTTCAAGATTTAGCAGAAATTAGGCTTCTTGAAGTAGGATACACGTGCATATCTAGCTATGAGTAGCACTCTGTCATTATTCTAGAGGCTCGAAGCTCACAAACTGATTATTCAAACTATTACATGATCTTTATCCTTAAAGAACAATGAATATAAAAGGGGGTTATATGCTTGTTAACTAACAATCAACACCATCCATTGTCACTGTTGCTTTGTGATCAATCGGAAGTAGATTAGTATTTGGTCAGTTGATATTATATTATTTCTTGTTTGTTACTTGAGTGCAAGCAAGAGTCTAAGTTGGGGGTGTTGATGTG